AGCCCCATCATTCTGCCCCATTAGATTTATAACTTTGGCCTTCTTTTAACTGTTCTCATTTTCAGAATCATCCTATGTAAATAGAACAATAAGGACAGTTATAATGCCTAAAAGTGCTTTATTAGCTAGCTCTAAACTTAGGTGGTTTTGTTATTTTATTGTATAAACAGCTGTGGGACAGAAGCATTGACCACTGGTGGAAATAAAGAAGGAAGGCATGCACATGGTAGTCACCTGGGCTGAAATCATGGTCTGAGGCGTAATTAGGCCATTTTAATGAATTTTCATTTTGGGCCTTCTTCTTTAAGCTCTTGCATTTCCTCCACTGCTGTATCTTCCTATCCTCTTTTTTTTTTTTTAATTAAGCTTTTATTGTGAAAATACTGTACAAAGGGGTTACCGTTACATGAGCAAGGTAGTGAGTACATTTCTTATCCAGCATTGTTGCCTGCTCCTTTGTTTTTCCCCTACCATCCCTTCCCTCCTACCTCCTCAGCTTACCGCCCCCCCATACACCTAAATTGTAAAGTTCGTTTTTCGACATAGCATCTTGTACATCTTATTGTTGCAGTGGGTCAATCTGTATCCTCTTTTTATCTTTATGTGCCCTCTGAACATAAGTTATCATTTGTTCAGTAAGCACTAAATAAATGTGTCACATGCTATTCATGTGCAGCTCATTTATCAACCAAATAGTTCTGTAAGGTAGGTACAGCTTTTATTCCCACTCCAGTAATAAAGAAGCAGAGAGACACAAAGGGGTTAGGTAACTTGCTGTTGGCAATGGCATCAAGACAGAATGCCAGGCCTGACTCTGCTGTAACTGGTCACAGAAACTTTCTTGTTCAGCAACTCAATTACATTGCGCAAATGTCAGATATTGGCAGTTTTCTTTCCTTTTTTCTTCTCTACCACAGCCATGTAAAAATTCAGTGCCTGTTGTGTCTGTTTGTGTATGCATGTGTTTGTGCTATGTAATCCACAATTTAATGGTGTTTACCATGGCTAGGCATTAAGAACTTTATTAGCTCATTTAATGATCATGAGAACTTGATGAAGCAGTAGTATGTGTGTGTGTGTATATATATATATATATATATATATATATATATATATATCAGAAATTAACACCAAAAATTACCTAACTTGGAAAACATCACTTAGCTTAGTGCTTGGAGTTGAGATTGAACCCAGAGGACCTTTGAGCTGGTCTCAATCAGCTTTATGTGAGGGATTCTACTTGACATAGGGTAAATTTCAAAGGTGTGAAGTAAGTTAAGTGTTGGGCAGCTTAGAGCCCCAAAGTGTTATTGCATTTTTAAGAGAAAAACCTTTATCTAATGAAACTTCAAAGGATAAAAACCTAAAAGTAAGTACTAGAAGAAAAAAAAAATCAGCAGTTGAACTTCTCCCGGGAAGAACATACCTATAGTGTAGAACATTTAAACCCTTCGTTTTAATTTTTTAGTTAATATATACTTTTAATTTCTTGGGCCATAAATCAGATATTTATGAGATTTTCAGTCTGCTGTTTTATTCTCAGATCTTACCATCTAGTCCTCAAATCTTCATATTTTAGCTAATCTGAACTTTTTGCAATTTTATAAAAATGTCATCCTCTTTTAAGATTCTCACTGCCTTTGGACATGCTGATTTCTCCTGCTCAGAATTACAGCAGTAATTTTCAAACAGATCTCTGACTCAGATCTAGTATATTTCTGGTTAGGCTCAGTGATCTAATGCTCAGTTTGCCTGGAGTACAGAATCTTAATTCCTTTCTTTGCCCTCATTTCATTTTTCATACCTTGCTCTTACTTTGCCTTTCAAGAACAAATTTTAATATCATTGTAAAACTTTCTCTAATACATCCCATATACCTAATCACCCTTTCTTCATTGCTTCTTTTTTGCAAGAACACTTTTTAATCATAATTTTTTTCTCTTCCTAAACTTTTTCAGTTCTTCAAGGAGAGAAACCTAGATTTAGTTTTTTCATTTCTTTATTCCTTATCACTTATGGGTGCTCAGTAAATACTGAGACTGTGCATCTTCTTTAAGCTTTGTCTCAGTTTTAATGGCCAAGGAAAAATGGCTCTTTCCCACCAGCTCTTGGTCCTGTCTAGGGTCGGGCAGACAAGTTTGAAAAGGAGCTGGAGGCTTGAGAGAAAGACGGTAAAAGATGAGAAGTATTTCCATCTACCTCGTAACTCTAAGGTCTAATTTTGCTCTGTCTCAGCCAAATGTGACTATTTAACTGTAATGAAATTAAAATGAGATAACAAATTTCTCAGTCATGCTAGACATATTTGAAGCATTCTGCATAGCCTCTTGTAGCTACTGGGTCCTGGGTAGCTCCGATTTGGAACACTGACATAATTGGAACTTTTTGTCATTTCCCATTAGTGTCCTCTGCGCCCTCCATTCATCTCCACACTTTCAGAGTGCAGAAATAATGGACTCTAAAGGAAATTTTCACTTGTCTGGTGATTTTCACCTGTGTCCTAGATGCCTGGAATTGTGCTTTCTGCTATTAAAGACTGGTTAGTGAGAATTGAGGAAAGTCTTATATCATTAAGATTCAGTAAAAAGTTAAGAACCTGTTCTCTTTGATTTGCAAAGTGTTAGTATAATGGTATCCTGGAAACACATTTTTTTTTTCTTCCTCCCTCCCTTCCCCCCTTATCTCTCTCTTTCTCCTTTCTCTCTTTTTTTCTCCTTCCCTCCCTCCTCCCCTCTATTTTTTTTTTTTTTTCAGTTGTGGGTCTTAAACTGGGCCTAGGTACTGTTCCTCAGCTCTTCAGCTCAAGGCTAGCGCTCTACCACTTGAGCCATAGCACCACTTCTGGCTTTTTCTGTTTATGTAGTGCTGAGGAATCGAACGCAGGGCCTCATGCATGCCAGGCAAACACTCTACCACTGAGCCACCTTCCCAGCCCTCTTTCTTTCTTTCCTTCTTTGCTTCTGCCTGCCTGGCTGCCTGGCTGCCTTCCTTCCTTCCTTCCTTCCTTCCTTCCCTTTTTTTTTGGGGGGGGGCGCCATGGGGCCTGAACTCTGGGCCTGGGTGCTGTCCCTTGAGCCACAGTACCACTTCCGGCTTTTTTCTTTTTGTTTGTGGTGCTGAGGAATCGAACCCAGGGCCTCATGCATGCAAGGCAAGCGCTCTACCACTGAGCCACCTTCCCAGCCCCCCTTTCTTCCTTTCTTCCCTTTCCTTCCTTTCCTTCTTTTCCTTCCTTCCCTTCCTTTCTTTCACTCTTTCATCCTGGGGCTTTAACTCAGGGCTTAGGCAGTACTTTCCCTGAGCTTTTTGCTCAAGGCAGGGGCTCTACCACTTGAGGTAAAGCTTTACTTCCTGCTTGTTGGTGGTACTTGGAGCTAAGAGTCTCATGGACTTTCCTGCTGAGCTTGGGCTGGCTTTGAACTCAGCCTCCTAAGTAGTGAGGATTATAGGTTAAGAGCCATTGGCGCCAGGCTGACAGTTTTAATTTAGTCATATAAAACATCATTTCCATATGTAACAAATGTCAGACTAGAAACTTCTTTAAAAATCAAAAACTATGACTTCTGCAAGTTCCTTGGAAATTTCTTTTTTTCATGGTAGGGGTAAGATAGTGTTACAAACTTTTCAGATTTCTTATGTTTCCATCAGATGCATGTTATAATCCAAATTGAGTAAAAAGCTCACCAAAGAAAGATAGACAAGATTTCAGAGGTGAATTGGAGTGGCTTACATAAACATAATGCATTTTGGCTGACAACAGTAGTGTTGAAATTTGCTATGATTTGTGTAAGTGCACCTGGAATGAAACATTAGACGTCAATGTTGTAGTTTTGATACTTTACCACAGATTGGTAAAGATTTTTATTTTAGCTCATTCACATAAACTTTTGAGCCATTAGGCTTCTTTACATTTTGATGTGTGCTTATTAGAGAAAAGTAGTGTTTCTGTGTAATGTTGCTGACTCTGAGCACTATACCTAATATATTTGTTACTGGAGTTTTAGGGTAAAAGTTTCAGCTCAGGGACTTCCAACAGACTAGTCTTGGCCATTTGTCACAATGTGCCTGTTAAAAGAGTGGGGAAGGGCAGAGAAAGGAGAAAGTCAACATGGCTTCTTGGGCACAACCGATAAGGGAGCACCATGACCCCAGGTCTTCTTTATTGTATTGACATGAACTTCAGGTTTCAGAAGAGGAAGCATTGAGGAAAGTAGACCAGTCATTTCAGAAGTGAACTGCTAAGCCACAGCTTTCCAGAAGTTGGTTTCCAGGCTGAACTACTAACTACACTGTTGTTTTCTGCCAGTCCGTTGACCTTAGCCATCTGAATCTTAAATGATGAGCCAATGTCAGGCTTGACAGTCTTTGTTGGTTCTCAGTGATGAAATTCAGCAGTACACATACAAATTTTTACTTTGAACTAAGAAGTTGGTATTATCATTTGGCCACCCAACAGTGCAGTTGAATCTTTTGTATCTTACACACATCATTAGAAAGTTATTTTTCCCCCAAAGTTAAAAATGACCAATATTTATAGTGCTCAAACTCCTAAAAATAAAGCTGGATTTTAATTTTTTTCTATACACAAATTCAGAATTTTAAATTATAGGCCAGATTCCTTAGAGAAAGTAACACCATTTTTCTAATATATTAAAGTTTTTGTTTGTTTTTGACATAGTCTTCATTAGTCCCTTCAGTTTAATGACACAGATCTGTGTCTTGGGTGCTTCCTTCTGGGTTCCATAGCTGCATCTCTCACCAACCTGACTACAGTTGGGTTTGTGTCTGCTGCTGGGTCCTTGGTCTTGAAGCCACCAGAGACCTTCCTGTCAAGTGTGGCTGGGCTATTGTGGGGTTGATACCAACAAGACAGACATTCCTGTTGCTCCCCATAGTTACTGCAGAAAAGTCTGTCCTTACAAGAGTAAAGGCAGGGGAAACATCAAGAAGGGAACCAGAGGTCTGCTCAAGAGGATACTGAAGCTTGCTTTTGCTCTTAGGTTCTGAGGGAAGCTGTGGATGGGGAGTGGATCATTTGTCTGATGAAGAAGCAGTAGAAGCTGACAATGAGGATAATGTGGAACCCTGTGACAAAGAAATGGAAAATGCTGCGGAATCGAGTACTGGGACTAACACAGGCTGGGCGGATGCCATGGCTAGAATCCTTAACAAAAAAACTCGTAAAAGCAAGTCTACCATTCTCATCAGAAACAAAGATCTAGAGAAGGAGAAAGAAAAGCTAAAGCAAGAAAGACTAGAGAAAAGAAAACAGGTGTGTGCTTTTCAGTTGTCGTTAGATTCTATTGTTTCCCTGGTATAGCCCTTATCTAGTGTTTCCCTGGTATAGCCCTTATCTGTCTGCCCCTTACAGTTCCTACGGTGTCTGTCTCACTGACATTCCAATTTTAAACCTGCTTTTTAGGTGAGGGTGGGGGTGGGGGTGGCTAACCAATGTTACACTCAGAAACAGTCTGAATGACTCCATTGAGCATGCTTACCTTATAGTCATCTAAGCAAAGAAATAGAAATGTAAACTCTGAGGAAATTTAACTTTCTCAAATTAAGTAATTATACTTGGAGCAGGAACTCTGAGTCCTCAATGTATTATTTGTTTTAGTTGTCCATATGTTGGCATCATTAGTGTTGGAATTATGAGAAGTACATTTTGTTAATTTTTACTGAAAACCCTTTTTTAAAAAAATAATTAAATACATGACTCAAGTCAGGTTGGTTGTGATCCTAAAAATGCCATTTTTCTGTTAGATAAACTCATTATGCTTTGGTTAAACCTTTTGGCCTTTCATTAAATCATCATTAAGATTAAAATTCCTTAATAAAATGCCAAAAAGGTAGGCATGTTTTCTGCTGTGTAGTTTAAAAATAAACAACATTTTAAATCCCGTGTACTTGATGGAGTATCTCCCTTAAAATATTTGATTACTAGGAAAAGTGTGATTTTTCTCAAGGGAGAAAAGTGACTGATAATGTAAACTTCGAACTTCTAAGAAGTGCTTTATAGATAGCAATGAAAGAAAAAAGATTTTAGTGACATATATTTCCTTTTGTTTACCACGTACTAATCTTGTTTCAAAACAAATGCTTGCACTATGTAAAAGCCTAAAAAGATGGACATTTTTAAACATCTTAGAAACATAACACACACAATATATTCTATTATTAATTCAATACTCTCATTCCACTTTAAAATAAATAATGGAAGCAGCACTGTGGTTCAAGTGGTAGAGCGCTAACCTTGAACTGAAGAGCTCAGGGACAGCACACCAGGCCCAGAGTTCAAGCCCTATGACCAACCAAAAAAAAAAAAAGATAAATATCTGTAAAATTTTAACATTTCAACTAAAAATTGAATAATTGTTTATTAATTGGATAAAGCTAGAAGAGGCCTTAAATATTAGAATTTTTAATTTAATCAAAATTCTTGTGAAGACAAGAATATCTAAAGCCAGGAAGATTCTATAATTTTTCTCAAATGCTAGCATATTGGTTATACTAAGGAACACAAAATAGCAGTGACAAATATTTTTATACAGCATCTTCCAGTGGAGACTGTAAATTAGCATTAAGATTTCTGATTTGGAGAAGAATCTATTTAGAAGAAATCAGGCTAATTTTCACGGAGAATATAGTTTTGCTGTTAGATATTTTCATCAGTACAGAATGAGAAATAGATGAGAGAGAAAGGAAGAAATAAAAGGAGACATTTTCCCACCTATTCCAATATGAATATTTTTCATGCCTATTAGCTTCTAGGTAATGAGTTCATTATATCAGTATATTTGATGTTTGCTTAAATGTTGGTCTGACAGACCTGAACAATGTACCAAGCAAATCAGGCTACTACTTGGAGGCCATTCTGAACTCCACCATATTCTGTGGGGGTTTCTTATTTCCCAGCTCCCCTTCTGTTTTGGCCCAGTGGTAAAAGTATTGGTCAGATGTTCTGTGAGAGGAGAAGTGGATTTAAATGATTTTGTGCAGAGAAAAATGATCACTGTATGAATATCTGGGTATGATACAGTTCATTAATTTATTTATTTTTGTCAGTTGTGGGGCTTCAACTCTGGGCCTGGGGATTGTCCCTGAGCTCTTCAGTTCAAGGCAAGTGCTCTACCACTTGAGTCACAGCGCCAGTTCCAATTTTCTGGTGGTTTATTGGAGATAAGAATCTCACAGATTTTCCTGCCCCTGCTGACTTTGAACCGTGATCCTTAGATCTCAGGCTACTGAGTAGCTAGGATTATAGGCATGAGCCTGGCTGATACAGTTCTTTTAAAAGCGAATACACAGTCTTAGGAAGTCACAATTGATAAGTCACTTCTTGGAAATAAAGAGGAGTGCTTAAACTTGGAGTTGCTAAAGCAGATAGCTTGGCTTCTTGCCTGTGTCCTTCTGCAGTTGTGGTGGCGGCAGGTCAGGTTGTGTGGCTGTCTGACATCCTACCTTGTGTGCTGGCTGGCCATGCTGGCAGCTCTCCAGACTCCTGCTGTCAATGACCCTGACAGAAACTCACTTTGTGCCTCTCATGTGGCAAGCTGAGTATTAACCATAGGCTCTCTGAGCTGAACCCCGAAAAGTGTGGTTTTCTTTTTTTGAAAAAGTCCCCATGACAACCTAAGCCAGAATGATTTATTACCTTTGTCCTTTCATAGAGTGTCATATCAAAGTTTGCTGCACTTTCAAAAATGCCTAATACCCTTTCACATAACAATATTTACAACACAGCTTGATAAGAAGCGGGAGTGGGAAATGATGTGCAGAGTAAAGCCAGATGTTGTCAAAGACAAAGAAACAGAAAGAAATCTTCAGAGAATTGCAACAAGGTAAGATAGTGTTTTTCCCCTTTACAAAATAAATAGACTAAAGCTTTGATAGTGATCTATTTTTCATCAGATTTGACTTACTAAACTGCCTTCTCAGATCTTAGCTGAGCCTGCTATTGAATACTGTATGCGATCAAACATTCTGGTGGTCTTATGAGGCAAGAATGTACTCTCTGTATTTAGTATGAACCTATTTCAGGTCATCTTGTCTTTATAATCACAAGAACATTTCTCTAATCATAGTTATCTGAATTTATGGCACTAGCGGGTTTTTTTGTTTTGTTGTTATCTTCTATTTATTTATAGGATAATAAGTTACTCTATTATGACAGCTTCATGCTATTCTTTTACTTTTTACTTTATTTTTTAAAATCTCTGGCACCAAACACTTATTTCATGCCTTTGGATCCAAAGATAAGTAAATTCCGGTGGCTGCTGGGTGGTCCTTGCATTTCATCAGTAGGAATTCATCTCTTTGAGAATACAGACATGTTCTGTGTTGTAGGAACACACAACAGGAGATTGTTCCAGTGAGCTAGGAATGCTTCTAGAGGAGATGACATTGAAACTGCTACTTAAGGAGTATAGCAGTTATGTTTGGTGTTAGTTACTTAGATTAATTTGGTCATTTTCTAATCCATCTAGGTATTAATGAGGTGGTGTGATGATTAGGGGCATATATGATAAGACCAGACTGCTTGAAAGAGTTGAAATGCTAGCACTGACTTTTACTTACTGTGTGTCATGAGACACCTAATTTCTCCCCAGTGTGTTTGGTTTCTCTGAGAGTTAGAGAACTGTAGGATTAGCACAGGAGAATGAGAAGAGTGTCTCCTCAAATTTTGTAGGCACTTCATTTGTTTCACTGTGGTGTTGGCCCTGCTAAAGGGCATGGGTTTTTTTCTGAGCTAACAGTCCAGCCTGTATTTTAGAAGACAAGAGATTTCTGGGTCCAAGACATAGGGACTTCATTTCATTACTCATGGCAAAAGCTGTAGCTGGAGCTTCATGTTCTCACTGGTCATCTTTGTGCCACAGGGGCAAGAGAGGCACACTATGCTGGGGAATGTTGGTTTTATAACGTTTGCCAAAGCTATGGTTTGTTGGGAGAGAAGTCACTTTATAAAAGAACAGTCAGGCTCCTTCTTTTCTTGCAAAACTTGGTAAGAATACTCAGGATGTGCTGGCCCATGGCAGATTGCCGCTACTAAGAATTATTCTAGGAAGGAGCTATAGATTCTAGAATTTTAGAGTTGGAATAGATTAACAAATCAGTGCTATCTGGAAGAGTTATAATGTGAACCACTTCCATAATTTAAAACTTTCTCGTAGCTTTATTGTAAAATAAAAGTAATGTGAGCGATGGGAAATTAATTTCAATAATATTTAATATATTTAAAACATTTCAAAAGTAATACAAAATAGGTATCAATATGATTTAAAATTTTTCTTTTTTTATATAGTCCTTAAAATTTCATCATGTATTTTACATTTATACCACATAATAATTCAGGCCAGTTGCATTTCAAGTGCTCAGGAGCCTGTACTCCTGCTTGATGGGCAGGTACTGTATCACAAAAGCCACATCTCCAGTTCTATTCTACTTTTAGTTTTTTTCAGATAAACTTTTGTGTTTGGCTTCCTACCTATGTTCTCTTATACACCACCTTTGCCCCTTAGTTTTCAGATTTATCTTGGCATGAACTTATCTAGGACAAAATTTTAAAACTGAGTATCTTTAAAAGCAAGTTTTTGGAGGTGCTGGGAATTAAATTCAGGGCTTCGTGCGTTGGGCAAGTGTCTCTAGCTCTAAAAATGGGATTTTAAAATTAGTTTCATAACACAAACATTAAAGATAAATACATAGAAATACCTTCTAAATTTCCAATTTGCAGATGAAATTAAGACACAGCAGATCCTTTCTAGTGTCCAATGCTTTAGTCAACAAAACAATAAATCCTGGCTCTTCCTTTCACTTGTGTGTCTCTGCCCATTACATATATTTTGTATAAAAAGTAATTCTTAGTTATAATTGCACAAAAGTTATTTAGTGAAATTTATGTTCATTTTCAGACTTTCATTGCAAATGTTAATAAATTTCAGTGTTCTGGTCACTTTGCATTCTTTAGGGGTGTGGTGCAGCTATTTAATGCTGTCCAGAAACATCAAAAGAATGTGGATGAAAAGGTAAAAGAAGCAGGAGGCTCTATTCGAAAACAAGCTAAGTTGGTATCTACTGTTTCCAAGAAAGATTTCATCAGTGTTCTGAGAGGAATGGATGGGAACACAAATGAGAAGAATCCCAAAGCCAAACAGGTAAGACCTTTACGTGGAACCAGCACAACAGACTCTTGTTCCTAAACTAAGGAGTTTTGAAATGGACCAAAAGTATAATGTACAGTATTTTTTTTGTTTTCTTTTTATATTTCATTCAAATTGCTTCACACCCATAGCATGATGATTTCTTCAAGATGGAAGTTACCAATTGTAGATATCATGTCCTTGCTATTAGAATTCAAGAGCCTGATCATGTAAATCATTCATAGATGGGACTTGCATCTTTCTTATCTGAAATCCTATGGTGGGTGAGGACAGCAGCTTCGTTTAAAAGTTTTACCCACTGAGGTAAATGTGATGATGTGAAATTGAGAAGTCAGCAGCTAGGCCCCGGTGGCTCATGCCTGTAATCCTAGCCACTCAAGAAGCTGAGATCTGAGGCTCTCGGTTCAAGGCCAGCCTGGGCAGAAAAGTCCATGAGACTCTACTAGGCATTTTTTTTTTTTTGTCGGTCATGGGGCTTGAACTCTGGACCTGGACACTGTCCCTCAGCTCTTCAGCTCAAGGCTACTGCCCTACCATTGAGCCACAGTGTCACTTCCGGCTTTTTTCTGCTTATGTGGTGCTGGGGAATCAAACCCAGGGCTTCATGCATGCAAGGCAAGCACTCTACCACCGAGCCACCTTCCCAGCCTGAGTCTGTGAGACTCTAATCTCCAATAAACCACCATGGCACTGTGGCTCAAGTGGTAGAGTGCTTGCCTTTAGCTGAAGAGCTGGAAACAGCGCTCAGACCCAGAGTTCAAGCCCCACAACCGACCCAAAAAAAAAAAAAAAGAGTCAAAGCTTCAAAACATCATTTTTGTGTTGAAATGGGTTGATGAGGATCATGTGATTGGGTGATTATAATTATAAATGCTTCTCTGGCTCTTTAACCTTTTGAGGGGAAAGGTGTGAACTACATTTTAATCTCATTGGGACTGGGTTAAAAAAAAGTAAAGATGTATATAGTTGTGCTTTAATCAATCATAACACAACAGTTTCTGTCCCTTTATGTGTATGTTTAGAAACTAGCAAAAGATCATTAGAGACTTTATGCCATTTAGTTGCCATTTTGCCTAATTCATATTTTAATTTTCTTGATTGATACATCATAATTGTAGGGATTTATGAGGTTATAGTCTAATTTTTTTTGATTCACGTATACATTAGGTATACATGATTAAGTCAAGGTAATTAAATATTTCTGTTACCTTTTCCTTTTTTGTAAATAGTGTGTGTACCCAGAATCCTTTCTTGTATTTAAATGGAGATATATAGTGCTTTGTGATCAGCCTTAAAACACTAGAACTTGGGCTGGGAAGTTGGCTCATTGGTAGAGTGCTTGCCTCACATGCATGAGGCCCTGGGTTCCCTGGGTTCCATTCCTCAGCACCACATAAGCAGAAAAAAGCTGGAAGTGGCACTGTGGCTCAAATGGTAGGGCGCTAGCCTTGAGCTGAAGAGTTGAAATATAGTGCCTAGGCCCGCCCAGAGTTCAGCCCCCATGACCAACAGAACAACAAAAGCAAACAAAACAAAAACAAAAACACTAGAACTTATCCTTCTATCTAACTGTAACTTTGTACCCATTGACCAGCCCTTTTCTCCTCGGGCCCTTTATTTTTTCTAGTTTCTGGTAATTATCTACTTGTGTGAGAGCATTTTTTAAAAATTGTACATCCAAGTGGGATGTTTTTCTGTGCCGGGCTTACTTCAGTTAGTTTAAAGACCTCCAGATCCATCCATGTGGTTAAAAAGGACAAGATTTCGTTGCTTTTCCCCTTTTTGCCAAATTATATACCATTATAATAGTACCTATTTCATCACAATGTGTTTGTAAAAATATCTATTATATACATTTGTACATGTACATTGTATGTATAAACAAGCACACAGACATACATATCACATCCATATTTTATTCCTTCATCTGTTGCCCTTGATGCTTTGTTCAAAAATGTGTTGGTGGTAGATGTGATGATACATGTTGGTAGACTGAATTAGGATTTGAATTTGAGGCCAGCTTGGGCTGCATAGGAAGAAGACCTTGTTTTGAAAACCGAACAGCCTAACATGCAAACTATCTTGATTTTTATATACATGCGAGGACTGTGCCTTTTGATTAACTGTGGCTTTGTAGTAAGCTTGTAGTAAATGTGAAGTCAGGTGTTGTAATGACTTAGGCTTTGTCTTTTTACCCAGGATTACTTTGGCTATTTGGGGTCTTTGGTTTGATGATTACACACAGATTTAGGAGTGCCTTATATTTCTATGGAGAATGTCACTGGCATTTTGGTAGCAATTGTATTGGTTCTGTAAATCAGTTTGAGTAGTCAATAATTTTAATAAGATTCTTCCATTCCATGAATGTGGGTGCTTCTGTTGTTTTCTTCAGTTTCTTTTGTTGGTGTCGTACAGTTTGTAGATCCTCTTTGATTAAATTCCTCCGTGGTCATTTTACACTTTTATAGCTGGGTTTTTTTTTATTAGAATTGCTCTTATGAGGGTATTTTTAGTCAGATCCTTTTGTCTTGAATAATATCCTTAAGATATTTCTCATCTGTTTATTTTCTAATTTTATTATGCACCATGGTTATATACAAGGTGAAGCAAAAGTACTTAGAACGTTATGTTTCAGAAAACTTTTTTAAGGAAAAATAACCAATAGCTTTTTAATCTTTTTAGGAAAAGATTTTTAGAAGACTTAGAAGTATTTTAAAAGATGTCAAAGTGATAAATTATGTTTGAGTCACTAATTATACTTTATTCTTTGGAGCTGAGCCTGGACATTGCAAAGTAAAACAAAACGGTACTTGATGGGCCCATTTCAGAAGAGATAACAGCTAACACTTATAAATCAGAAAGCTTTCAACTAGAGCTCAGGGCACTTATTTTTCTAAGTAATATGTCATCTACAGCCATGAGATATTTCTTCAGTTATATACTTAATGTTTAATTTTTCTACTTCCATGTTAGATCAGTTATTTGTATAGAGGATATACATGACTTTGTCAAATATAAACACATGACACCTTTGGCAGTACACATTAGCAGTAATGCTTTCTCCTTTGAAATGGCTCATGTTTCAGTGCTCTGTGTAGGTTCAGGTAATCAGGAAGTGAATTCATTCCCATGGTCTGCTTCTCTACAGTGCTCATTTTCTTTCCCACTATCATGTCATATTATAATCCTATTAAATGAATCTTAGGAGCTTATTCTATTTTATTTTTGTTATGTAGAGCTATGTAAAGGGGTACTGATAGATGAATAGAGAAAGTCTAAGCACAGAAAAATTTCTAGCCCCCAAATAAAAATTTGGGGTTAAGGATTGATTGTCAAATTGGAGTTTTGGTCTACAGAGTGAATAAACCCACCAAGTAAGTAGTTCATTTAGGAACAAGAAAGCAACCCTTTGTAAGTCAGCCTAGCTGTGAATGTGTTACACATATAATTAGAAAATCTTGCCTTTTGTATGTGTATATGTGCCTGCACACACATGTGTGCGCATATGTAGTACTGAGGTTTGAACTGACCCTTGCACTTGCTAGGCAGTTACTCTGAGACACTGCCTTGTACCCTTCCCCCCTTTTTATTCCAAGTAGAGTTTTGGGCTTTCTTGCCAAGGCTAGAATGAACTACAACCCTACTTCTGTCTTCAGAGTAGCCAGGGTGACATGCATGTCACCTGCCTAGCCTTTTCATTGAAATGGGGGTCTTCTTATCTTTTTATCAAGCCTGCTTCAAACCATCATTTTGATTTTTGCCTCTTGAGAAGCTGAGGTTATAGGTGTGAGCCATTGCATCTGGCTAGAAAGACTGAAAGCTGGAAAAAATGTGATGTGGTGATGTTCGTAGGAAATATGACTCTCAGGAAGGATGTACTTCTAAGAAACATAGCTTTAATTTTAACATGTCATGAAGCAAATAGGATAGAGGAAGAACAGACTGCAATTTTGTTTTTTTCTTGCTCTTTATATAGTTGTCTTTCAGTGTCTGGAGGATTTGTTCCAAGACTGCTGTGGACACTAATATCTAGGACTGTTTAAGTACTTTATATAAAGTGGTTTTGTATTTTAATATAACCTCACTACTGTGTCTTTTAATTCCTAGGTTGCTTATCATACAGTGTAACGCTATGTCCCTAGTATTGTGTTGTTAGTGTTGCTTTGTTCAGGGGATAATGAAGAACAGTTTCCTTCATGTTTGGTGTACATACAGTTCTTTTGGTCTATGGTTAGTGGAACCCAAACAGGAACCAACTAATTTATTTCTTTTCTATTTTCTTCTCACATAGAGGTTGGAATATAGGGTGTCTGCTGATGGATGGGGATAAAGAAGATTCTGAGGAAGTAGGTTGAGATCAAACTTTAAATCTCAGATCTTCTATTAAGATATTTGGAATTTAGTTTTTAGTCAGGGGCCAATTTTCATCAGATAAGTGTCATGGTCAGATTTGACTGGTTCTTTTTTTTTAGGGGGGGGGGGGTCTGGTCATGGGGCCTGAACTCAGGGCCAGGGCGCTGTCCCTCAGCTCTTCAGCTCAAGGGTAGCGCTCTACCACTTGAGCCACAGCGCCACTTCCAGCTTTTTTTTTCTTTTTGCTTATGTGGTGCTGGGGAATCGAACCAGGGCCTCAGGCATGCAAGGCAAGCACTCTACCTCTGAGCCACCTTCCCAGCCCCAGATTTGACTGTTTCTAAGGTAAAGAAAGGATTGCAAAAAGGGAAAGATGGATTCATAAGACCACCTAGTGAGAAGTTACTGACATAACCCAATCTAGAGGGGAGAATCTGAATAAAGATTGTGTTGGTTCGGACATTATCATTTATGCCTATCCCAAGCACTGCAGTGGCTGAGAGATGGGTGATCAAGTTCAAGGCCAACCATCATGGTTCTGTCTCTGAAAACAAAAAATAGTGTTAGGATGGAGGGAGGGGTATTGGTGATAAACAGAAAAACAAAACAAAACCCAGAAAACTTGAGAAGTCAGTGTGGAG